AGTACACCTCTTAATCATTGAAACTTCTAAAGGAAACATTTTATTGTTAGCCATTGGAACTTTAGCAATGATTTTCCCAGATTTCTTATTTTTAATAGTGCAAACACCATCATCAAAAGAAATCGAATATATGTTAGTCATTAGTTGTCCAATGCTAAGCAAATTATGAGATAGACTAGGAACAAACATCACATCTTCTAAAATCTTAGCATTACCTTGGTTGGTCATAATGCTAATAATACATCTACCTTCAACCTGAATCTTCTTGTTGTCTCCTAACCTTACGTCTGATTTTTGGACTTATCAAGCTCCGAGAACAATGATCTTATTCTAGATATATGATTTGAACAACCACTGTCCAAAAACCAGAAATCGTTAGGGGTTTCTTTTTCACAGTAAAAGGCCATTAACAACTTATTATCATCATCATTTTCCTCTACAACGCTTGCTTGGTTATTCTCAACCTTCTGCTTTTGCCAACAATAAGCTTATTTATGACCTGGTTTTCTGCAGTAGTTGCATAGAAACATTGTATTCTGCTTCTCTTCATAAAAACCTCCTCTATCTCGGTTTCTTCCTTGGCCTCTTCCACGGCCTCTCCCTCGAAAACCACCTCTGCCTCTTCCACGATTTGCAAAGTTTTCTAGCTTATCTTTCTGATGAGTGGACTCCCCTTTCACCTGAAATGCATTTTTTTCATTTTTATCATGTGACCTTAGGAGCCTCTCTTCATGAGCTTGCAAAGAACTCATTAGTTCATCAAAAGTATAATCAGATAAGTGATGAGATTCCTCAATCGTAGCAACAATATGTTCAAACTTTGGAGTAAGAATCCTTAAAACTTTTGCTACAACAATTTCTTCAGATATATTTTCACCATAAGACTTCAATTGATTAACAAGAGAAGAAACTCTAGACAAATAAGTTTGAACAAATTCATTGCTTTTCATAGAAAGAGTTTCAAAGTCACGAAGGTAAGTTTGCAATTTTACCGTAATCACCTTAGCTGAACCTTGAAATTCCTTCTTCAAAATCTTCCATGCCTGTGAAGAAGTAGTTGGTGTTGCAATTCTTGAAAAATTGTGTCATGGACTGCTTGTTGAATCAGGAATAGTGCTTTGGCGTCCTTCTTTTTTATCTCTTTCAATTTTTCTGTCTCTTCGTCAGAGTCTGATTGATCCACGAAGCCTGCTTCAACCAACTCCCAAACTCCTTGTGATTTGAAAATAGTTTTCATTTTGATACTCCAAAACTCATACTTTTCACCAGTAAAAATTGGCATGAGTTGCAAACCACCCGCTAAGAAAAGGTAAATAAGACAAGCGATCAAGCTGGCAAGTCAAGGATACAGGATGGATTTTTCCAGGGTGTGTGAACTTTCTTATATATTCAGCCACATGTGTGGGTGTGAAAGGATTTTATGGTCTCGGTCATTCTTCTATGAAATATCGATTTTATCAATCATTCCATTTCAGAATTGAGTTGTTGGGAAGAATATGAAATACCATTATTGCCATTTTTCCTCACAATTCACTCAACTTCCAGAAAGGAACCTTTCTCTGATACCAGATTTGTTGGCAAGAAAAAGATAATCAAAAGTAAAAATGAACAATAAAAGAGCAAAAGAGATAAAAATTTACTGCAAACTTTTTCAATTCTGATTAATTAATAAAAGCAACAAGACCTGCCTATAAATAGGCTTACCAAAAACTGAAAATACTAAAATCTAGGTCTAAAAATTACTAATTAGCCACTATTCTGCCACAATATTTAAACTTGCTAAGATAAAGGAAACTAACTAGCAAACTCCTAAAGAGTTGGTCAAGTTTCTTTTTGAATCATTTGTCAAAATAGCCCTTATTAGGGAAGGAGTTGCTAGAACCCATGGTACGATCCTTAACCAACATCGGTAAACGTAGTTTCAGATGTTTGTCTATTAGACTTATTCCTTCTTGATTAACTATTTAGCTCCATTAAGCTCATGTGATCATGGGTTAGCCCAAAGTCTTATATTCATTAAATTCAAGGACCATAGTTCATAAACTTCATTCATATCGCCACGTCATGAGGTTACTATTCATGTATCATAGATTTGTATTCATGAGAAACATATATCATATCATAATACTTTTGTCAAGGGAACATATGATAGCATCATCCATTTTTTTTGGTAAGTAGATGCATTATTACCAAGGAGAAAATTTTCAATACAAAGCAGGAACCTTATCATGTGAGAAAATTTGGGTTATACAAACAAATCAACTATCTAATCTCTATTCCCTGAACTGCCTCATATGTTGTCCTCTGTGTGGTTGCATCCGCAACATACATGTCCATTACTTTATTCTTTGTCATGGGTAGTAGTTGAGTTCTTGCAACCTTTTAGCCACCTTTGTATATACACTACCTCTGTAGTGTGTTTCTCTCACGATGGTTTTGCATAGCTCATCAATCCCCCTTTGCTTATTTTGGAACACTCTGTAATTCCTTTCTTGCCATACGTAGTATTTGCTACATGATAACACAAGTTTGTATACTTGAGCTATGCACAGTCTCTTCCCAATGCATTGCTTATAGCCCACTCTACCTCTTGTGACCAGGCGATAGGTGATCTTTGAATCTGGTTCCATAGTAGTCTTCAGTCTTCTCCATAGGTTTGCTGAATATGTGCATTGGAATAATAGATGTTCTGTGGATTCCTCGTCATCTTCACATAGTGGGCATGTCGTACTGGTAGAGACTTTCCACTTTGCTAGTCTATCCCTTATGTATAACTTGTCATGAACCACCATTGCTAAGTGAAATATCCATTTGGGATAACCAAAATTGTTGCACTCTAGTCTTTCCCGGCTAACTTTTGGTAAGTTTCCTCTCAGAGCATTATACATGGTTTTGATTCGGAAGCTCCTGCTTTGGACAAATTTTTCATGGTTGTACCCAGCTTGTGCTACTGTCTCTTTTGCTTTGAGGATTTTCCTAATAATCCACACAGCTTGCTTTGGGTCTACCTCTGTAGCAGCATCATAAGATTTACATTTAGAGAAAATCATAGTTCATCATTTTAGGGTTCATAGGATAATAATTATCAAACACCCTTGACTCTAAAGAAAATAGTGGCTTATTAGAAAAGAGAAAATCATAGGGAATATCACCATTAAGAGTTCTAGATGGAATGCGATCAATTAAAAAGTTAGTTGTGGATACCACATCCACCCAAAATTGCTTAGGTAACTTCATTTGGAATAACAAAGCGCAAGCAGTCTCAAGCAAATGTCTAGTTTTTTTTATCAACCACTCCATTTTTCTATCGGCCACTCCATTTTGAGAGGGTGTATCCATACACGAAGATTGATAAAGAATAGCATATTGATTCATATTGTTCTTAAGCGATGTTGACCTGAATTCTTTAGCATTGTCACTCCTCAATCACTATATACAAGCATTAAACTGTGTCTCTCATCACAAAAATTAGAGAAATGGGAGAATGCTTCAGAATAATTTTTCATAAAGGAAATCCATATCATTCAGGAAAAATCATCCACAAAAGTAACAAAATATTTGAACCCAACCTTAGACACATTGGGAAATGGTCCCTAATTATGTTAATGAACTAATTCTAAAGCAAAATCAGTCCATTTATTATTCTAGGACTTAATGAGTGCAAAGTGACAAGACTCAAAGTCAATTGAAGGTACATTATGAAACTGAGGACATAATTTTTTTCAAAATTGGTAGAGAAGTATGTCCCAATTGACAACGCGCTTCAAATGATGAGAACGATAATTGAGTAAACAATTGATGTAGGCACGAATGCATAAGAATGTAGAGACGGTCAGATACATGTCCTTTACCAATAATTTGCTCCGTCATAAGATCCTAGAAAGTAAAATAATTGGGAAATAATGAGACAAACATTTTAGTTCTTTGATAAGTTTACTCACAGAAATCAGATTAAAGGTATAATAAGACCCATCATCTATGGTAACAAGGGATAGTACTTCATGTGATCAGAATTTTAAGAAAGTTTTGGGATACTTATCATGTGATTTGTGGCAATCGAATCAATGATCTTGTTGCTTCAGAAAGAAATGAGATATTTGTTACCTCACTTAGTAAGAGCAGGGGCTAGAGTGGTTTCTTTTATTGATTCCTTATACCTTGTAAATTTGGCGTACTCATCGGTTGGAAAATGTAACAGTTGAAGGTGAACTAGAAGAAGCAATAATAGTGGCAGTAAGAATTTGTTGGATGTGAATCTGTAATTTCTTACAATTTTGCTTCATGTGCCCGGATTACTTACAATAGCGACAAGTATTTGTCATTGTCTCCTCCTTTGTTATTGTTCTATCTCCCAGCATCATTATCTCCTCTTATATTATTGTTCTATCTCCGAGCATTATTGATGTTGTTCCGCCTTCCTACACTACATCATTGTTATTGTTCCATTTATCTACATCATTGTTGTTGTTCCATCTCCCTACATTATTTCGTCCTCCTCCTTTTGGTCTCTTGATTGGATGGAGTACTCTCTCTCTCTCTCTGTAACACCCGCTGAAAACAACTTTGAGAGAGGTAATCTCAAACTTAGAGGGGAGTACATCTAAAAAACTCATTAGTATCATTTGTTCCCTCTGAACTTGCTACACTTTGATATTAACACTGAATGGTAGAAGTATATTCAGTTTCTCATAGGTTTTCTTGAACTCCATGAATTTTGTAGTGAGTGACTTAGCTTCCTTCTCGCAACGATAGGAATTAGCCTACTTTCACATACAAATAGGTAGCACGTGTCAAATGTCTTCATAATGTTATTCATATTTTAATAAGAAAACATAATATTTACTCATGTTGTTAGACTTCTTTTTTGCTAATAGGCAATTAGTTACCAAGTGTTTAGATAATTGTTTGCATATAAATTGATGTTTCATCTATTTTTTGTTATTTAAAAATGAGAAGCTCCATTTTATAATAGGAACATAATCATTTGTTGACAAGGTTGATTAGAAAGGACGGCTTGAAATGGATTTTCCGTTCAATGACGACAAGGAGGAGTCTTTAGTACCTGGAGTGTTTGAGATACCTGGAGAGCCGGCTGTTGTTATTAACGGGTTGCCTCCCATTTCTTCAAGTGTTGACACATTTTCTCCCTTCCCAACAGTTACTGATGCAGTAGAAGAATCACTTGACACTGTTATTGGTCCATGGTTTGAAGGAAGAGAAGTTCGCAAGTTGTTTGGGAACAAGTATTACTATGGGGAAATTACTGAATTTGGCGAGGAAGTTGGTCGGTTCAAGGTGAAATATGAAAATGGTAATGTTGAAGAACTTGAGTGGAATGAGTTGGACCAAGTTCTTCAGCCTTTGAATTTGAATATTCCGCTGGCAACAATATTCACAGAGTCCATTAGGAGAAAACAGAGATCCATTCAGAAATCGGGGAAATCCAAGGGTGGAACTACAAATGAAGGCGTAAAAATTGAGTAAAACATGGTGAAGAAGGACGTCATTTTTATGTAGAACTCCAGGGATGTCTTACATTACATGGAGTATATGATAAGTGGTGAGTTAAACATTTTCACAGTTGAGGAAACTGTTTAAAGACTTTTAATAAAGTTTCGAAATAGACTTATTCTTGTTTTCTTTTCTTCCAAATTTAGTGATGAACAATATTTTCTGGTGTTTAGTTACCAAATACTAAAAGTGAATATTTTCCATTTAAGGTTGAAAGTCATTTTCCTTTATAACCATCTCAATTTTTACACATGTTACATTCTGTGTCAAAACAGGCCTATTTTAGAGGAGCTTGGATTTGGAAGAACATGAATTGAAATAGTCTTGTCAACTAAACAGCATGACCAAATTTTTTTTATCAAGTCAAATAATTAGTTAATAAAGTTAAAATTATATGACTTAAATAAAGTTAAAATCCCTAAACACTTTTGGAATGTCTAAATTAACTTAGCGTCTGATTAGACCCTTAACTTGGGTGTGTAAAATGTGGTCAAGTCGTGTGGGGTAAGGAAAAGACCAAAACACCCCTCTCTCAAATGGATGAAATGCCTTAACTAGACAGGTTGCACCCAAACAAGAATAACTCCTTCACCTGAGCTCGGAATTTAGAAAACTCAGCGGCATTGGAAAGAGGGCTCAAAGACCTTCAATTTGATACCACATGGACCACCTAACTCTTTATGTACTAAAAGTTATAGTCGTTTGAAGTTGACTCAAAACTAAAAATTGAAGTTTAACTTGTACGAATCTCTAGTTGGCTTTTCGAAGACGAGATGTTACATGATCCATGTTCTAACAAATTTCGTGTTTCTAGAAATGTTGTTTTCTTTGAAAATTAGTATTTCTTTTCTACTCATGTTGAGTCATCTTATGTTTCTCCACTTCTTCCTACTTTTGAGGATTTGTAAACTTCTTTTAAGCGGTTCAAACATGGATTTGTGTATGAACGATGTCAACCAACTTTGCACCATCCCGAAACTAATTAGCCACCTGAGACTGCACCACAACTAGAATCTAAGAATTCTTCAAGGTCTAATCCTCATGAGCCTATCGGTGATGTATACCAGAGTATCGTGTACTCCTAATTGGATGTAAATAGGCTTATTTAATTAAACCTCATTTTGATGGCACTCTTGATTGATACAAAGTTCGGTTGGTTGTTCTTGGTAATAGACAAGAGTTTGGAGCAGAATATGAAGAGACTTTTGCACCAGTACAAAAAATGACTGCGGTGCAAACAATTATTGTCATTGCTGCTTCACAAAACTGGTATATTCATCAAATAGATGTCAAAAATGTTTTTCTCCATGGTGATCTTAAAGAAGATATTTATATGAAACCTCCACCTCGTTAATTCTCATCACCTACATCAGATGTATGCAAGTTGAATCAATATTTGTATGGACTAAAACAAGTTCCTAGGGCTCGGTTTGACAAGTTTCAATCTACTTTGCTACAATTTTCTTTTGAGAAGAGAAAATATGACTCATCTTTGTTTCTTCCGAAAAAAATCTACAATTTGTGTTCTTCTTTTGGTATATATGGATGACATTATTACCACATGAACAAATTCTTCATTAACCACTAGTCTACAATAGCATATTAAAGATTCATTTCATATGAAAGATCCTGGTACTCTTACATATTTCTTGAATTTGGAAGTTCATAATAATTCTTCAAGTGTGTTTATAAACCAACACAAATATTCTTAGGATCTAATCCCTTTGGTTGGTCTTCAAGATTCCTCCTCTGTAGATACTCCATTGGAATTGAATGTGAAGTATCCACTACTAAAAAATTATCAAAAAACAACGGCCAAAAGCGACGGACTGCGTCACTTTTTTGGTCAAAATTGACGGAAAAGCGACACAGTCACTTCCGTCGCTCTTTAGCTCGTCACTTTTCAAAAAGCGATGGACTGCGTCTCTAAAAAGCGACGGACAACGTCGTTTTTCAAAAAGCGACGGACTGCGTCGCTAAAAAAGCGACGGACTGCGTCACTAAGAAAGCGACGGACTGCGTCGCTTTTAGAGACGGACTGTGTCTTTTTTAGCGAAGGACTGAGTTGTTTTTCGACTATTTTTTTAAAAAAGCGACGGAGTCCGTCGCCTTATTTTAATTTTAAATTTTTTTAAATTTCTAAAGGGCGACGCAGTCCGTCGCTTTTATGGAAATTTATTTTTTGAAAATCCCAGAAAAGCGACGGATAAAAGGACACTGTCCGTCGCTTTTCTGGAAAATTTATTTTTAAAAACCCAAAAAAGCGACGGACAAAACCACGCTGTCCGTCGCTTTTCTGGGTTTTTAAAAAAATTAAAAACTCAAAAAAGCGACGGACTAAACCACGCTGTCCGTCGCTTTTTCTGCAATATTTTTTACAGTAGCAGATCTCAGCTTCTGCTGCCCACCTGCAAATTCAATTCAATTCAATTCTACACTATTCAGCCCAATCAAACACACAATTATAAACAGTCTAAACAAAACATAAAATAACAAACTTAAAATAACATTCAAAAGTATTTAAATCATAAATTAAAGACTTATAAAGTCTTTTAAAATTCGTTTTAAAGTTACAAAAAGTTCATAAATGTCCAGAGATCTAAACTAGGGAGTGAGATCTACATAATCATCCTCATCACTCTCATCGTCGGTGTCATCGGGAGCCGAAGTAGTAGGTCGACGAGCGAGGTTCATCACTTGTTCTTTGATTTGCTGAACGGTCTCACTCATGCTTTGTTGTTCAGCTACTCTTTTCCGCTCAGACTCTGCTAGTGCCGCTGTAAGTTTAGTTATTTGATCCGACATAGCAGCAATCTGAACACCGTCAAGTGGCTCAGTTTGACGTGGCGATCCAATACCTTCTAAGCCTGACTGAAGGCGTCTAACATCGTTGCGAGAGCCTAGACCATAGCATCTACCCTTGTGTGTCCCCCCTACCACTTTTTCTTTCCAAATCTGAGTGGACAATTCAGGTGTCAATTGAACCGAACTATCTAGATTCTCAGCGACGTACTTATTAAAGTCATTCTACATATTAAATACAAATATTGACATCAATATATATATATATATATATCATAAATATATTCACTATTGATATATATTTTTCATATTAAATAACTTACAAAAGTTCGTTCGGCCCTTTCCTCCACCTACACATCCGGATCTGACTCATTTTCTTTCTTCTTGACATGAGTCTTTTTGAAAACCTCTGGTTCAATGGGAGTGCGTCCCAATTATTTTTCCTATAAATAAAAACTGAAATTTATAACGATATATATGTATCAATTAATTATTTATTTAAAAGTTTGAATTAGAACTTACCATCTCTCGTACAATTGTTCCAACCGTCTTTGCACCTCCGGTGTGCAACGAGCCACCTTTAAGACTGCCTCTAGCCATTTTGGCTTGATCTGATATTGCCTTAAACTTGTCTGTTTTCCAATACTGACCCAATTCAGCAAAAACATGAGGCAACATCCAACTGGGACGTTCACCACTATCTTGAACGCTCTTTAGCCAGTTAGACAGTCTGGTGGATGCCTTCCTCTCAAATGTGGTCCCAATGACCAAATTGTACCTCGACTCCCAAGTACACATAGTCTGAAAAAAAATTGAATAACGTTAATTAAATCGATAGTAAAAAAAAGTAAAGTATACTAAACTTAACTAAAAAATATATACCTTAAAGTTATTAAACATCGCCTGGCGTATACTGTTTGGAATCTCGCTCCAAGAGTGATAAGCTTGTCTATAGAGTTTTCTAACACACTCTTTTAAAGCCCGGGCAGCATCCTTTGCAGGATGCCACCTGCAAAACACATAATAAATATGTTAGTTCATGAATAATATATTAAAGTATAAGAAATAAATAAAATAAAGTAACAAATAGATAACAAAACAAACTTACGATGATCCATCCGGCTCAATCATGACTCTACCAAGTCTGTCCTTCTGGCCAGGAGCTAGAGCAGACATCATATCATGTGGTGTAGCACTAGGTACAGCTGTAGACGAGGGTGATACATCAGGATGCACAAAACGCTGATTCAATGGAGGCGTACCGGCCATAGCATCTGACTGCTCGCTACTAGAATCTCCAAGCCTCATGGCAGATAACTGAGGAGATATACCTGTGAGAGATGGAGTACCTGCCGATAAGGGTCGTGCTTGACGAATAGCCTGTAAAGGTAGGTCCTCGTAGCGTCGTGAAGGCAATGCATGTGAAGTAGATGAAGCACCGACTGGTTGACGATAATTAGGATAATATTGCCGAGGATCTGCCGTACCAAACGGAACAGCAAATAAGTGAGTATTATGACTGATGCGCTCTGGCGCAGAAGAAATAGATCCTGCAATATCCTCAGAATCTATCGGTCTCCTAGACTTCTTCATTTTAGCCTGTTTAGTCTGGCCAACTCCAAGATGCTCGCGATATCTATCACCGTCACCGCCTGATGACATCTGTATGCAAATTTACATGTATAATATATATAAAAATCATAAATTAAATAAAATTAGTAAAATACACTTACATATGTACTAGCTAGCTTTCATTCTACACTATTCCTCCTCGCTTGTTTCAATTCCATCATTCTCCCATTCTTCCTCCTCAGTTGTTTCATTTTCATTATCGTCTCATTCTTCGTCATCAAATGATTCATTTTCCTCATTCTCGGATATTTCTTCCTCAACATTCAATATCTCATCATCAGATACTTCTTCTAATAGGTGTTGAGGATGTTGTAGTGTGGTTTCCAATTCAACATCAACTTGTTGTTGAACAATTGCAACATCATTTTGATACGCCACATCTAAGACATTGTCAATTTCAATTCTTCCTACAAGCTTACTTTTTATAACAACCCACCAATCAGCTTTGTCTCTACGCAATGGATATGAAGCGTAATACACTTTTTTAGCATGTTGTGCAATAATAAAAGGATCATAACTTCTGTATTTCCTGGTGTGCT